TTTTATAAAAACTTTAATAGAGGCAATAAATATCTGAACCCTCTACAGTTGCAGTTTTCATAAATTACAGCATAAAACACACATTCTGTATTTTGTCCATGAGGCCACTCCGATAATGGAGATTAGGTAAATTTTTTTTCCCCAATTGCATCAGTTGAATAGATTTGACCTTTTTGTGCAGATTTGATCTAGTCTTTGGCAAATTTAGATTTTTTTGGTGTGTCTCCGTTAGCAGCACATGTATTAACTTTGAATAGCATAGGAACAGTTAGTCACTATTCTTTGATTATGGTTTTCGGTACATGGTATTAACTGTTCATATCATTTATTTACGTCCAGATGGAAAAATGTCACCTGAACATCAGCTACTGGGCAGTTCATGGACTCTGGTAAGAGCGTGTTAAGTTTTTAATCTTTTTTTTTGGTGTATAGCCTAACTGAATATTATCTGAAATTCTTTTTTTTTCTTTTATCATGAATTCTTATTTAACTCTGAGTTAGAACGTTATGAAACTTCCTGTGTTGCAGGCCAGATAAAGGGATTGACTGCAATTCATCGTGGCATTTTAACTCTTCCCAAATAGAGGTATAACACTGTTCAGACAGATTTAACCTATCATTGGGGGTAAAACCCATAAAAATCACGTATCGTTTTCTGCCCAGTCTCTAATTGGTTTACTATTCATTAACTAAAACTGTATGCCTTTGTTTTTTATTGTTGTTTTAGGACCTTCTTCCAGACATGAAGAAGAGTTGGCCTGATTTGCTTGACCCTTCATCTTCTAGCTTCTGGTACATCCAATTTGTAGTCAAGATTTCCCTGCACTGTGAAGATGTATCCCGAGAACTACTCTCCTAGTACTACCTATGTTATTTTAAGGCTGCTCCATTGTTGGCTCATTCTGTGATTAATGCTTGTGTGGTTTGGGATTTTTTTAAAAATTGAATTAACAATTGTAAAGAAAAAATACTTTTTTCTTAAAGCATTATTGCTTTTCTTATTGAGCTGCCATGAAGGACAGACATGATTGTTTAATACATATTTTCAGTTTTTATCATATAACATTATAGATGATATAGCAAAATATATGTTTCTATGTCTTTTTCATAGGAAGTACGAGTGGCACAAACACGGCACATGTGCAGCCAAAGCAGCTTCACTGAATAGTCAATATAAATACTTCAGCAAGGCCCTGGAGTTATACCATAAAGTGGATTTGAACAGGTAAACAGCACGCACACATTCACATCCACCTCCTGTCCTGGAAGCAAGGTTTGTTCATCTGTTCCTTTGAATGGATGAAATTCTTTGTATCTTCTCAACTGTCCGTGTTTGTCCACCAGAGTTTACTTGTACTTGATTTTATTCCCTCTGAATGACAGCATTATCATCTCAAAGCCCCAAAATGGTAAATGTGATTTTTATTATTGCAGCATCCTGAAGAAATATGACATCGTCCCCAGTGAAAAATACTACACTGTAAGTCTCTTATCTGGAACACTGGATTTCTGCATTAGAAAAAACATGTCCAAATTTTCCCCGTGACTAAAAGTGTCTCCTCTTACCTCTTCTTCTCTCTCTGCTCCTGTTGAGCAGTATTCTCAAATTGAAGGAGTAATTGAAAATGTCTATGGCATCAAACCTAAGATCCAGTGCGCTCATCCTTCCAAGGTATAAACACTTCATTTCACTCAAATAATAATAGCATAGTCCATTGTGAACATTGTGCACTCTGTTACTTTTTAAACAGTGTGCAAGTTTCTCTTGTTTTTTGTTGTTGACAGAATGCTGATGCGCAGATTTTGGGGCAGATCGAGATTTGTTTTGATGCTGACTTTGCACTCCTCGACTGTGAGAAGCGGGTAACGGTGGGAACCTTTTCTAAGGGAGGTTTTGGTGATCAGAGGGACGTTGCCAAAGGGTCTGGATTCATTGTGTGTGACCACAACATACCAATTTATTACCCATCTCATCCATAAATGCTTGTATGTTTACAAATGTGCTGTAATTTGGCATAAACGCACATAAATTACACATTTCTTGATCCTCAAAGCTGTATCGATAATTGTGAAAATGATTCACTGCGGTTTGATAACTTAACTGAGCTGCATGTGCGATTTGGCTTTGCCAGAAACTTGAAGATAGTTTACCATCACATGAGTTGTTGTTTTTATATGTAGCAAAATCCAGGCCTCACGCGTACACGCGACATTACACCATTTTGCAGCATCGGAGTTAACCACATCCCTGATTCTCACATGGAAATTTGACAAAGAACACTTTTGCACAATATGGAACGTCGTGATAATGTTTGGTTTCTTTACAATGGTGTAAAATGGTCAACTGGCACTTTTTTATCTGTTTGCCAAGTTTTGCTGTTTGATTTATATTGTTTAGTTTTTTTAGCTTTTCTTTGATTTGTATTTGGTTCACAGTGCCTCTTTGGAATGATATTGACATTCAAGAACATTAAAATAAGTTACCCTCCATATCATTGAATTATTTTGCACATAACACTGGGAACGTGCCTTTGATCATGGAAAATGGCAAAAGGCAGACAAATGTTTATAACATCCGTGTATTTCTATGCTCTCTATACTATTTGATAATTATCACTTACAACCTTTGGAGCTTTGCCAAGTACATGCACTTATTCATGCACTTATTTCATTTCCTGGTTAGTTCTGTTGTGTTTATTTCTGGTGTATTTAGAAATTCTAAAAATGTGGAAAACTGAGGCCATTGCATTGGATGTTGTAAAAGCTTTTTTTTCTGATCCTACAAACAGTGAGTTATGTGTCTAATTATCATTTTCTCTCTGTGCTTTTCAATTGGGATTATTCCTCTCTATAGGATAATCAAATATATTTGATATCAAATTATTGTTGCTTCATAAAATGGAACCACTGTAGTTGTCCAGTCTTATACTGTGTGAGTTTTAATGGTGATAAAGATATGTTGTCACCGCTCAAAAAATGAAATAAAATGCGCAGTAATGTGTAAGAAAGTCTTGAACTGTGTCTTTTTTCTTTAAATATTTGCAGGAAAATGAGAACTACTGTATATGTACTGTTTGTCTGAGTATAAGATCTTGTTCAATTCTAACCTGAAAGTCAGTATTTGCCAAAACTGCCTGTATTCTTCAACACAGCCTTTTTTAGAGAGGCTTTTTTATCTTTGTTGAAGTACTCTCCAATAATAGTTTCGAGAACCTTCCAAAACTTTTCTTTGTATGTCAGCTGCTCTTTATTATCTGTCAAGACAATCACATACATGATGTTGTGGTCCAAACTTCCTCAGGGGTTCATCACTCCATAAAGGCAGTTTGTCCATTTTTTTCAGATTCAATCATTTACATTTTACATTTATGCATTTAGCAGATGCTTTTATCCAAAGCGACTTACAAAAAGAGGTTTTAACTTTCAACTACAACACCAGTCACACACTTACCTTGAACGCTATATGCTGGAAGAGGATTTAACATTAAGGATTTAACATTTCTCTCAGTTTCACTTCCTCAAGAATGTCTTCCGCAGCATGTTAGATGTCTCCACCATAAACCCAACAGTTAATGAATAGTCACCAAATAAAGTGAAAAATGGACTAATGCAGTCCAAATAAGACTCAAGACTTTGCACTTAGCTCTACCCATTTTTAAAGCACATAAATCAGGCAATTAAACGTTGATTAAAAGAGTTTAGTGAAAAAATGTAAAAAAGACTGTCATTCTTATGAGACATTGTCGTGCTGAAATATGTCATTTTTTCTCTCTGTACTTGTGTGATAATGTACAGCAGCAATGCTATGCATAAGCCTGTTTGTCTATGACTCTGTGCATATAAATATTAATATTGTGATCTCCTTATGGAGCCCTAATCCTACCAGGACAAAGACACCAGTCCATAATCCTGAAACTCCGCCCATAGCACACCACAGCAGAATGTCCAAACACATTTGATTACATTTCACTTCTACTCAAATGCCCTTACAGTGCGTGGCCTATTTCCATCTTTTAAGAGTTGTTGGGAATTGGGAATCCTCATGCCGAAGATATCCCAAAAAATGTTTTTGTAAAAAGTTGCTGTCCCGGTCAACAACAAACCTTTAGGGCAGGGAAGTGGTTCTCATTTACTGCCAGTATTCATCAATTCAGTGTCCAGTGTCATGTCACCCTTTCTCTCCCTATGGTTATGTAATACTGCAGCCCTGCAAAGCTGTGACAGATCCAAATACCTACACACACACACACACACACAAATGTTTTTTTCATCCACGCTCACCGATCAACAAGATCATGCTGTACTTTGTAGCTGCTCTCACTATTATTGATAAAACCACCATCAGGCTGTCCTCAATGTCATTGAATCGTGCTGTCAGCAGAATTCGTGGATTGATCATTACCATTTTTGTTCAGTTGGAGTGGTAACGATCCAACTGTTGTAAGTGAAATGTGTTTGCTTTTATCTGTATGTATGAGTACAGCCAAAAAGAATGGGTAGAGGAAGACGCAGACAGGGGGGGGGGGGGAGGTTGCAGGTTTTCACCATGTGACCTCACCAGCTGTTGCTGTATGGTGTTATGGGAGGCAGGAGGGAGGACAGGGACAGGAAAATCAGGAGGGGAGGGGTGGAGAGGCTGCCGGTGGTGCACAATGTGACTGGTGACAATCCCCCCTGCACCGCAGAGAGAGAACGAGAGAGAGAGGGGAAAGGCAGCATAAACATGATGCACAAGCACGAGATGTGAGGAGGGGAGCTCACGCACGCCGCTCCTGATTCAGCGGAACAGATTTACCCGTCACCTCTCCCCCCCCGCAGCCTTTACGCAGCGCGCCCGCTGCAAAGCGCCGGACAATCCCGAAACCCGCTCACTGTCATCCCGCTGCAAGGTTGCGTGGATTAAAATTCTGCCGTAGGATCCACGGGAGCTGGGAGGTCCAGAGCGAGAGGCGCAACAGTGAAACACCACCAGAGAGAGAGAAGAGAGGGGCGTTTGGAGGATGGGAGAGCTCCAGAGCGACCACCGCATCGAGGATGGGCCACTGAAGAAGCTGCGGGACAAGTAGAGGAACTGACCCAAGCCCTGTTTTATGCGTCGCTGCTCTAGGGCCCCCGGCGGGGACATGTTCATTATGGGATAGATGCACAGGTCCGCTCGTTGCCATGGATACCAGCACGCGTAAATTCACAGTGCGGAGATGGTTTTCTATCTACCTGAAGAACAAGGCGGCGCGCAACAAGAACAGCGCCGGATTCTGTCAGCTGGAGGTTAGTCGGTTTGCACCATGCGGGTTACAACAGCCCCGAGAAACAAACACCCCCCTCACGTGTGTGAGGAATCTCCTCTGTGCGCATGCAAAAAGGGTGTGAAGACATTTGGGATTGTTGTGGAATCTTTCAGTATTAGAATGCAGAGAGGTGGGTCTCCCTCCCTGCCAGTAAACATGTAACATGGGGACAATGGAGATGAGTTATTTCATTGTCTTCCATTGTTTTGTTTTAGTGGCTTCTTTGTTTTTTGTCTTAATTTTTCCTGAGACCACGTGATAAGGGTTTTCGAAAATATGGTTGGCCAGACAAGGCAGTGGTAGATAAATGGATCCAGGCAGATTGACTCAGTTGACAGCTACAGGAGTGGTATTCTATTTATAGCCCAAACACACCAGCAAGGGAGGGAGACAAAAATGTGAGGTTTGCAGGACATCTACCTGTATGCATGGGCTAAAATTAGACATTTAAAAAACACTCCCCCTGTTTGTTTTTGTTGAAATGACTTGACTGTGTACCTGTTCTTACAATTGTAAACTGTCAGCTGCAAATGTCAACCTGTTTTTGTGTGTGTGGTTGTCAGGAAGAGGACCTCTGTCCTCTATTTCTTTCCCTTAGTTCTCTGGATTTAACTGCAGCTTCATATTTCAAACAATAGGGCAGCCATGACACCAGCTCTGTGTGGGCAGGACATCTCCAACATTTTAGAACCAATGGCTTAACAACACGAAAAACTCCATGATAATAACAACTGTTTAATGGATTTAGTGTTCAAGTGAACTTACATGTGGAGTTACTAATTATTGTAAATGACACCAGCTTTTCTTTGTCAACAGCACAACTAAAATCTCCTCCATGGTGGCAGATAAACAGGAATAGCATACTTATAAAGAAGTATTCCCACATAAGTATATCAATAGGCTCTGTACTCATGAGGTTCCAGTTCAGTGTGCAAGATAATGTGTGGATTTAATGTTGTTGTTTTTTAAGCAAAACTTACTCCTTTTAGGCATTTAACCAGGGGACAATAACACATAAATGATTGCATGCCCAAAGAGGTACTATTAGTGAAACTCTAAAGTTTTGATTGCAATATACATTTAGTCACATCAGCATGTGTGGATGCATTGTTGAGAGGTTATTGATAAGGTACGTCCAACAGAAAGATAGGCTGTTAGGGAGTTCCAATATAACACAAAGTGACACATCTAGTGCCTGCAAAGGATACATAAAGTTAACAAAAAGTTTGATCCTATTGAATGGACATGTAGGATGCAAGTCCAGTTAAGACTTATTACACTGTGTAGCATTTTTTGATCTGGCATTACTTGCCCCAGCATGTGTTGTCTCTTTTTAGGGATGGTCCCATTTAGATGTAACTGGTAGAAATAGATGGGTATGTTTGAATGTACAGGTACAAAGTGACTAAATCATATTATCAAAAAAAGCTCTATTTAAATGATAATAATCATTAATGAATATCCGACTTAATCTTGCACTGCAGTGTTTTCATTTGACCAAAGCTCTGACAAAGCATCAGTCTGTGGGATCACCATACCAAGACAAAAATGGAAAACAAGTATTCTTTAAATAGTGTCATGTTACTTCCAAAACAGTTTTGCCAAATGCTGAAAACTAACTTTAAGCATTGTGAATAGCTTTTCCATTTGTTATTGTCAGGGGAAGGCTGTAACTGGAAACCAGGGACACTGGCAGTGTGTTACAGCATCAGCGCTCTCGCTACGGCGACAGCATCAAAGAGCATGCTGTCTTAGCAGGAACGGATTCAAGAGGCAGTTTATTTTCAGATTAATGGGAGCTGTAGAAATGACTGTGATTTCCAAATCCAAGGATCAATGTCATTATCATGGTGCCAGTTGAGTTGAACCTTATGAGGCCTCTGATTTTAGTTGCAGGTCAGTTTTTCAAGCCATGTTAAATATGTGGATTATTTTAACAGCATTGTAAGACTAGATTGGGTGCTGTTAACCATAATTTATCATATTGGTTAATTTTTCATTGAAGCTCCTTCTGAACGGTAGTTACCCATTTAGGTTAGGTTTCTTTGTTTTTGTAACCTTGCTAACAATGCATCGATAATGATAATATCTGCCTTTTTCCCTCAGGATGACAGTGTACTCAAGGAAATTGACATCAGTCACCATGTTAAGGAGGGTTGTGAGAAAGCAGACCCCTCTCAGTTCCAGCTACTCAAGGTGCTGGGACAAGGCTCTTATGGAAAGGTACTCAAACCATTAACAGTGACATGAATATCCACAACTGACAACTGAGAGACAGCAGTTTCTTACAGACCACGTTATTGAGGCTATGAGACATCTCAACATCTGCAACACTCAGTGTGTCTTTCACTGGCCTCAGTGGCCCAGATTGTGCTAGTATGGGTTAATGTTGTCTTAAAACATTTTTATTACAATATCTCAAAATAGAATAAAATACAACCAAGCACATTTCCATAAAAAAGAGGTAAGCGTTCATTTTTAGCTGTGCCTGCAAATTATGCTAGGACAATTTGTCAAATATATTTGTCATGAGCGTCTCATCTATAGAACTCAGTGTTTCTTAACTGCTACTGTCTGAGTTGATGGCTTTTAAGGAGTCACAAACAAACTTCTATCTGGTTAGTGTTTTGTCTTTTGTTGTTGGAAGGCTAATAAGTTTTAAGATGAGTTTTACAATGCAAAATATAGAAAAGTTAAAGAATATCTGAGACCTTTCCAGATGCACTGTTTTCTGTGTTAGTAAAAAAATACACATCTTTTGGGCATTTACTTGCTGATGGCTTGAGTTTTTTTAGTGTCTTTTTGCTTTTTATCAGCTGCTCATCTGCAAGGGAAAAGCCTTCCATTTCCAATTAGCTTTAGATTAGCTACCTTGACAACGGATTCTAAGCTTATTTAAATGAGTAGAGTTGCACGACTGATCTACTACGGCAGATTACTGGTCTTCGCAGGCTAAACATGCAACCCTTGCAAACAATGGTTGTTGAATGCGGTTTGCAAGACTGCAAGCAGACAAGTTAGGTTAAGTCACAGCATGGCCTGGATAACGTGTTTACATTGCCGAGTATATAGGACAGCATTCACTTGCTGCTCTTTAAAATTGCGTGACCTCAACACCTTCCTTTTTATGTTTAAGTAGTGTGCTTCAGAGAGTATTTTTAAATGTATTCAATCATTTCATCTCAATGCTTCAGCTAATTTCTTCATCGGGACACTATGTGCTGTTATTGATTGACATGACCACAAAATAATCTCACAAAATGTAATGATCACTTACAGGTTTTCCTGGTCAGAAAGATAAGAGGGGTGGACAGAGGACAGCTATATGCCATGAAAGTCCTGAAGAAAGCCACGCTGAAAGGTAATTCAATGGAAAGGCTTATGTTTAAATTGCACAAAATGCATTTTTTCAAAAGGAGCTGAAATGTCAAATGCAGCTAGAATACATGCAATGTTTAGATAGTGTGTCATATTAGATTAATACATTGTTTATACACAATTCAACGTTTTGAGAAATTCATTTATACGGTAAAAACAATTTTTTCATATGATATTCCCATTAGAATTAGATATAAAACTATAACAAATTAGAAAATAGCCTCCACAAAATATGCCAGTGGTAATTTGTAAAGATTCAAATTAGTTTTGTGCAGGAACACATGTAATGCGAGGCTGGCAGATTTTCTCACAGTGCCCTACATTCAGGGGGATTTATGGTAAAACAGGTTGGTTTGTACTTTTGATGTAGCTGAACTGTTCTACATCAAGGGATTATTGTAAACTAGTGTTCTGTACAAGGAGGGTGAGATGTCATGAGCTGTCCTTATACACATCTTAATCTTCGTAACCTGCACACAGTAAACAACAGGAACCTAAATTTTATCCTGTCAAATTGATGCCGCCATAATATTTTTATTCTGGTATCATCTATGCACAGTGTAATAAGTAAAACAGAAGTTTTTAGCATGTAATCTTTTTATCTTAGTATTTAAAAAATTGGACATCATATAAAATGTAATTATATTAAGAATGCATGTCCTCTGTATATTTATGCCTGTTTTCTGTTATTGCTATCAGAATGTGTAAAAATCCTTTTATTTTTTATTCAGTGCTTTACATAGTTATTTTTTTACAATATCAGAGATTTATGAAAGACTGTTTTCTATCTCCCTCTCAGTTCGAGATCGGGTGCGGTCTAAGATGGAGAGAGACATTCTAGCTGAAGTGAACCACCCCTTTATAGTTAAACTACACTATGGTAAGTCAAAATGGAGTCACAGTGGAATCATCTTTTACGTGGAGATATTTTGCTGGGGAAAATAGATAAGAAAGTATGTTGATGTTATTTTTATTGTTCTTAATTATTTAATTGAGTATACCTTTGTTTTTCTTTTGGGTAAACATAGCAATCATGGCATAATGATTAATGTGCATACCTCACACAATGCTTACTTTAAACGAAGAGCAGATGTTTACATATTTCAATAGACTGATAATGAAGTTTTGAAGAAAAGGCTGACAGAGTTTTAGATAAAGTGTGTGGAATGTGGAAAAGGTTGCAGACAAAGACACAACATACTGTTAACACAATCTAACACTGTGAAGTCCTAATAGAGAAAAATAGACTGTAGTTTGTTGTCTAACTTGCATGTCTGTGTGCCTATATGCATCTTGATTTGCATGTAGCCTTTCAGACCGAAGGAAAGCTCTATCTTATACTGGACTTTCTCAGAGGAGGAGATCTTTTTACACGTCTGTCAAAGGAGGTGAGCTTGCTCGTGATGTGTCTGTCTGACACTTTACTGCTGACAATATATAATGTGGATTAATGTGCTTATGAATGCTTCTATGACGTGATTCTGCTGTGATACATGTCTTATTTCAAAGGTTAAGTCTAATCTAATACTTATTGACTAAGAAAATATTATTTTAAAAAGACATGAATACTTAAAATGTCCTTATTTGTCTAGGTGATGTTTACAGAGGAAGACGTCAAGTTTTACCTTGCAGAGTTGGCCTTGGCCTTAGACCATCTACACAGTTTGGGTATCATCTACAGGGACCTCAAACCTGAAAAGTACGACGACCTTTAATGGCTCTGTTGTCTGTTACTTGTACTTTTGTAACATTTGTTTTTCATTTTCTTGCATCAGTATTCTTTTGGATGAAGAAGGAAACATTAAGATCACTGGTCAGTAAATCAAACTGCAAAGATTGCAAATTTAAATATGTCCTCCTTTTTTCTGTCTGTACTTGTCTTTCTTATTTTCATGTCCATTTCTGTGTCTATTCAGACTTTGGGCTGAGTAAGGAAGCTATAGATCATGATAAACGAGCTTATTCCTTCTGTGGAACAATCGAGTACATGGCTCCTGAGGTTGTGAACAGGAGAGGGCACACACAAAGTGCTGACTGGTGGTCATTTGGTGTGCTAATGGTAAGAATAGCTTCCCCTTAAAAAATGGTTTGACTTTGACTGTATATACAGATTTACACACACAGTTTTACACTGGCAGTTTTTTTGCTTGCTGGTGATGATGTTTTTTCCTGCTTAATAGCAAATTTGATCAATCTTCTCCCCCCCCAACATAATGTGCCAGTGTTCTGGTTTCCTCATTTGACTTTCTCCTGGCAGTAAAGCCGCTTAATTACAGCCTCCGTCAGATTAAGTTCGCTTCACTTTACACAATTGTACGTCCTCTAAAGTAATCTTGTTTTATTAGGCTGGTGGCTTATTTCACTAATGCTGAGAAGGAGGTCAATATTCACTGACATCTGGCACAGTAAGATGCCACCCTTGTCTACCCCTGACAAGTATTTGGAAATATACATGTGTGAAAACAAACCAAGAGCTGAGCATTTTCATATTCCAAGGGTATACAAAGGCATTGAAGGCACATTTTAAAATATAGATAAACCCAAATTTATATAAACTAAATTTAATTAACGTAGATTTTGAAGCATCGTGTCTTACTGTTAGAGCATCTAGAATCACAATCATTATAAACACAAAAGGCATAAAGTTTAACAATAAATCCATGATATTTGGTCATATTCAGCAGAAGTCCTTAAAAAGTCAATAAATCATCAATACTTTCTGTAAGGTGATATATTTTTATGTTTGTTTGTTTTTTCAGTTTGAAATGTTGACAGGATCTCTACCATTCCAAGGAAAAGATCGTAAGGAAACAATGGCACTTATTCTAAAGTACGACAAAACTTTTATTTTATTCATATTCTTACAGACTTTATTTCATAAGTTGTGTTTGTGTTTGTGTGTTTGTTTGTTAATGGGCCAAAATGTTTCAAATGTGTATCTGTGTCATGTCTATCTAGAGCAAAGCTGGGAATGCCACAGTTTCTGAGTACCGAAGTGCAAAGTTTATTAAGAGCACTCTTCAAGAGGAATCCAGCCAACCGTCTTGGTGGGTAAAACGTGTTCATCTTGTGCGTCAGCTCTTTTTGATCGTGCTTTGGATTGTAAATTGTTGGGATCAGTGGTAATCTCGTCGGATTTTAATTATAAGAGGTACAACAGCTGTAGTGGACAAAAACAAATTAAAGTCACAAAAATAACTTAGAGAAAAGGTTGACTTGGTTAACGCGTCTCAAACGATAATCTTGTCAGTGTCCATTTGGGGGATTTGTTCCTGTGTTTTAATTGCTTGATGTTTTTGCAAGATCATATTTAGCCCTGAAATAACTGAAACATGCAGTCATTATCATGACTTGAGCAGAACATTTTCACTTTGGCATTAATCATGCAAACCTGCTTAGTGGGACATTTCAGAGACTGACCATTTTCTAACTAATGCTTGATGTCACATTTCTTGGTGTAAAAAGGGAGTGCAGTCAGGAATGATCCGCTGTTGACAGTATTCCATATTATCCTACACTGGAAAAGGCTAAACAGGCCTCAGCTTACTAAGCTTAGAATCAAAACTGGCCTGAGCCTTTTAAGATTTAGGGAATTCCAGCTGTGGCTACAGATGATTCTTATTTTATTTTGGTTCACTTTGTGGATTATCCCGGACTTCATGTTCTTCTTGCTTTAAATCTAGGAGTTCTGTTATTATTTATGTTTCAAATTACTAATTTATATGCACATGTCTGTGTATACTCTAAATGTACTAGAGACATCTAGTGGTATATACATCTATGACACTAGAAATCCCAATTTCTGCACATTTGAGCCCAGGATCCTTTTTCTGTGTCCCAAAAATTTACCCCATTTGAATATTTTCTTTCATTTGTGTGATTGACAGGTGCTGGCCCAGAAGGAGTTGAAGAAATAAAAAGACATTGCTTCTTTGCTTCTATAGACTGGAATGTAAGTGTCATTAGGAAGAATATTCTGCACTACACACAGTAAGGTGGCTTTAACTTGTTCAGCATGTCTACAGTTTACTGAAATAAGAGACAGCAGATTAGACCAATAAAGCAAATTTTATTAATGAAGGCAGAAAAGAGGTAAAGAAATAATAGCAGAACATTGATTGTTTCAAGCAATTGGATTACTGAGTTCAGTATTTTTTGTTTAATCGTTTTCTAAAGAGGTGGTGATATGCCCCCTTTTGTAAGCATATAGAAACAATAGACAACAATATGTGACAGTAAACTGGTACCATGTCAAATGTTTAAATGGACACTTTTAACTTCAAAAGACAGAGAGTCGAAGTTCTTTAACGTGTAGATTTATCACTACAATAACAGTAAAGACTGTGAGTGCTGGAGTAGATGGTGGTATTCAGAAATTTCAACAAAATGGTCACTGACACACTTTCTCTTTTGGATCTAATCATGCCCCCTCAGAATAATAACAGTATAGAGCAAATTCATTGGAAGCACTTAGTCATTTTTAATACAAATGTTCCAAAGGATTATGATGCTTTGTTGACTGCCTTTGACAATGTAGATGTTCTAATTTTGAGCAGAATTCACTAAAATGCACATTAATCTCCACCCTGGGCTTTCTCTGTACTCAGTAGTACATTACTGCCTGGTCACTTCCTGCCAGATGCCACATTTCCCCATGTTATGTTTGCTTAATGTGACGAGCTGCCAATAAGAGGCTTAAGCTTTTCTCTGCAGTCCTGTGAGGTAACTGAAGTGTAATCAGGGAAAGTGGTTTCTCTCATTGTCTGCTATCCTTCAACTTATCTTACAATTCTTCATTGTTTTTAGGGCTTTGACCCATAAACCTGGCAAAACTTGCCCTAAATCCAATATATGTAACATAAATGGAGCTTACTGTCTTTGCATTTTTGTGTGCCCTTTGCAGTTACCTAATATGTTTTGGTGCAAATAAACCATCTTGGGGTCGTTAATTACAATTGTGGCTGACACCTGCATGCCGTATTCAGTAATACTTTTAAATGAAATTACTGGCCATAACTTTCCTGATTTGATGTCCATGTTGCAGATTTGGACAGACATTGTAACACATTTTCAGCAGATATCCACTGTATTTTAGTATTTTTTCCTACAATTCAGTTCTTCAGGGAGTGTAATTGCTGAGTCATGAGAAGGCCTACACACTGATGGTGAAACTTGCATGTTGTGACACATGTAAGAGTAACATGGACATTTTGTGAATTATCATGTAACTTCACCGTTTCTCTGTGACACTAAAGACAGCATCCAACAATCCATCCATTTGCTACACCACTTCACTGGTGGGGTCACAAACAGCTGTCGTCATAACTCTTGCCTGGTTTCTCGTCAAACATACAGCCTGTGGCTCATTTTGTGATGACACCAGCTGTTGCTTGTATAACTGTGCTTTTGGCCTCATGTCTTCTACAGAAGTTGTACAGGAAGGAGCTGAGGCCACCATTCAAACCCACTGTGGGAAGACCTGAAGACACTTTTCATTTTGACCCTGAGTTCACGTCCAGAACACCAACAGGTACCTTGAATATGCACAAAAATTAAAAACATGAAAATCGTTTGAAAGAAAGATCGGTCCTTTAACTGCTTCAAAAGCTGCGTGCAAACATTGCAAATAGTCTAGTGCGACACATTAGGAAAAATTGAAGAAGTTTATTCACTTCTCTTCATAAATGTTTTTCAGACACTGAACCTGTGTTTGTATCTTGTCATTTCCAGATTCTCCTGGTATTCCTCCTAGTGCAAACACACACCAATTGTTTCGTGGTTTCAGCTTTGTAGCAACTAACCAAATTCAGGAGGCCACTGTTGCCCCAGTAGTGCCTACTCATCAGGAGGTAAACATTAACCCCATTGCACAGGTATGTCCATAATACACTAACTCCAGATCTAATGAAAGCGTTAGAAACACTGTTTCACAAGGCAACTGATGAGAAAGAAGAGATTGTATAATGTAGCTAAAAATATCTCAGTGATTCTCTCACTACTATGTTTCTACACTGCTGACTGTCACTCACTCATTCATGTATGTGACTTCTTTGTGTGTTCAAGTGTCTGATCGTGTGTGTCTCTCATAGCATATTCGTGGAGATGTGGCCTTCAAAGATGTTTATGAACTGAAGGAGGAAGTCAAACAGACAGGAGCCTCTGTTTGTAGAAGGTGTCTGCACAGAGTTACTGCTGTAGAGTATTCAGTGAAGGTACAGAAATTTACCATGTTTAGAGAAGCCACATTGAGTTGTCTTTAGTTATATGTACAATACAGAACATTTGGGGGGTCTATTACCTTCTGTTCTAAATTAAATGAAATGATTAGTTAAACCGGATATTTAATATATGTAAATATGTGTTTTCTTCATTTTTTTTTAGATTATTGACAGAGCTAGGAAAGATCCAGCAGAAGAGATTGAGATTCTTTTAAGATATGGACAACATCCAAACATTATTACTCTGAGAGATGTAAGTTTAACACACACTCTGTGATAAAATAACAGGTGGAGCTGTTAGTCCTTCTCTTATGCATCTTTAGATTTTGGATATGAATAGCACACTTTCCCCATCGTTGTGTTCTCTTTCCCATTTAGGTGTTTGATGATGGCCACAGCGTGTTTATGGTTCAGGATTTACTGAGAGGAGATGAGCTACTGGACAGAGCTCTGAAGCTGCCAAATTTCACCGAGAGGGACGCATCTGACATCATCTGCACACTGATTAAAACTGTGGAGTATTTACACTCACAGGGGGTAAGACAGACAGTTAGAAAAGAGAAAGTAATCTATTGATAATATTGATACTGATTAAGTTGAAACCCTAAAATGACCTAGAAAATATTCAAATCATTAGAATTCAAGCTTTTGATTTGACAAAAAAATGTTGAAATTGGCATATCCAGAATTGACGCTTTAAAAACGTATGAGTGAGATTGGTATTTTTGTTTCCTTTGTCTTTTTTCTTAGGTTGTACATCGAGATCTAAAGCCCAGCAGCATTCGCTACGCCGATGACAGTGGACTCCCCGGATCTATCAGGATCTGTGATTTTGGTTTTGCCAAACAGCTCAGGGCCGAAAATGGTTTGTTGATGACACCATGTTACACGGCTACATTCATGGCTCCTGAGGTATAGCAATAACAATAACAACTGTCAAAGCATAAAACTAATTCCTGCAATTAAACAGATTTAAATGGCTTCAAGATGTATTTTTGTTTATGTGCACAGGTTCTGAGGAAACAAGGCTACGATGCTGCCTGTGACATCTGGAGCATAGGGATCCTGCTCTACACAATGATAGCCGGGTCAGTGTGAGGTTTGAAAGCACCTAAAACTACTTGTGACATCTGTCACAATACAGTTCAGCCTTTTGCTTTTTTTTTTTAATAAACACCTACTTTATCTATTCTTGTTTTTAGCTTCAGCCCATTTGCCAGCAGTCCTACTGACACATCAGAGGAGATTCTGGCTCAGATTGGCAGTGGGAAAGTCATCGTGACAGGAGGGAATTGGGACTTGGTGTCACTTGCTTCCAAGGTTGCATCTAGAAGTTTTATTATATTCATTAAAGTTATTGTTTGTCCAACATCACTGAACTGGTTCAGGCTAATTATAATGAAAGCCTTTTTCTGTATGTTTAACAGGACCTTGTGGTAAAGATGCTTCATGTCGATCCTCACCAGCGCCTAACAGCCCCACAGGTACCTAAATAAAAAGACAAAAGAAATTTGTATATCAAGCAATCATTAAAGCACCTTGTGTTTCATAAAATGGGGATGTTTCTAAAAAAAAAACTTTTTTTCTTACTCAGATTTTGCACAAAAGCATAAAAGCATTTCCATACAAACATAAACATACTATCAAGTCAGGGTTCAAAGCTAAAAAGTACAGGAACATGATAAACAGATAAAATATTCCCAATACTTCAAACTTGAGTTTAAATTGTTGAGTTTTTATTTAGTGTAATTAGAAACTGGATAGAGAAATACTTTTCCAAAGTTTAGTGGCCAAAATCACAAGATCCCAGTCACACCTGGATTTTTAAGGTGGAATAGATAAGAAGCATTTAGTTATTGTTTCCTTAATAAAATAAAAAACAATCATAGGGATTTAATGTAGGTATTTATAAGAATTTAGAACAATGTCCATGTGTGGAGTATTTGCCTTACATTAATACATGGCATTTACCATCTTTATTCAGTTTTAGGGTAGCATTTTTAATGTTATAAAGTGTAAAGGGAATAAAGGTAGACACACTGCACATTACATCAGTTCCTGAGTTGTTCATGTGGTTAGTCAGAAATCAGGACTTTACAGTGCACATAGTAAGACACCCCGGTAGTGTAGCTTCTAATGGTTTGTGTAACCACCATGACAACAGATTGTTTTAACTGATTTTGGCTCATGTATGATTTGTTCAATGCAATCCTTTTTTTAGGTTCTTCGACACCCGTGGATGGTTGACAGAGACCAGCTTTCTGACAAAACTCTCACCAGAAAGGATGCTCTCACAGTAAAGGTCAGACACTTTACTTTTTTATATTTGTGAAGTCTCGGTGTATCTACATCAGAGCACAGATGGACACAGAATACAAAATACAGCCGCTTGAATGTGGGAAAACTTTGAATGTCAGACTGTCATTGAAATCAAACATAATATGAATTTGCAGAAAGCAATAGTCTCTTTCTAAGATGACGAGTGAGGCAGCAGAGGCACCAAACGAGCCTGTCAATGTCATCCGACTGCCTATTATTCTGCTCAGTCAGCAATCAAATACAAAAATAATCTATTTTTGTAGAAAAATGATAGTCCTTATGGTTCTGGATACACATTACTCGAAGGACAGGTGTATTCACCTTAGTCTTTGTCAGTATAGATTGAGACAAGGGTGGCCAGGACTTCACTTGGATAGGTTGACAGGCTCAACTGGAGTTTTGGCTGCATGAATCAAGTGTGCCTGATAAAAAGAAAATAGATAAAAGAGTCTTTTGAAAGTCTTTAGACTGGGAAGAATGTGAGAGGAAAAGAACCATAGCTGAGGACTTATGTTTGAGCTGACTTTCATCCTCAGTACATGAGTTGCCTGCTCAACCAGTAAAGCCCGCTGGCACCTCAGATAAGCCAGCCAGCAAGTATTCATGAATACTTTTTGTTAAGTCACTCTTGGAAGTGCATCAGTATCTTTGCATGAGACAGAAAAATGTGCAAGCCCACAGTACTTCTGTAAAGGAAGAGAGAACAAAGAGGGGTTTGCTCGAGTCTTGTATTCTATAATGTGGATGTTACATATGCTCAAGAAAGAAGTGTTTCCACACCAAATATCACAGCCACTTTTCCTTTGTATGTTGTAATGTTGTTTCCTATGTTTGTAATGTTAGATTTAACAATAAAAAGTGTGTGCTGTTTGGACACATTCTGTCATTAAAGAAGCACGCTGTGTCTAATACAAATGTGTTCAAACCTTTGAATAGTACAGTATTTATTAACCTTATGAACATTTGTAAATAGTTTGACTCCTCAAATACTTTCTAACATCACTACGCATGTAAATAGAAAATGTACTGACAATCTTCCTCTGTGAGTCCATCAGGTGGCTTTGCCCGCAACGTAGAGTTGTTGACAGGGTTATACTAATGTAGTGTCACTTGTAATCCACTAGGGGGCACTCTCTGCCACGTACTCCGCTCTGAGGCGCTGCACTCCTGCTCCAGTCCTGGAACCTGTGCAGTCATCCAGCCTGGCCCAGCGAAGAGGGATGAAGAAGATGGAGAGTCTAAAAGTCACTTCAGACCCTGAAGAAAAGGAATAATCCCAACAGACTGCGTGAAACACAAAATTAAATTCAAGTCTTAATTTAAAAACCCTACTATCAGAGGGGGATGGACCCCTTGAACAGCACAAGCCATGCCTCCTCGACCCGAAGATAACACGTCCCACTAACAGGCTTGGCTTCACATCTCACAGCATAAATTTTGGACCCTCTAGAATTGAAACAAATATGACTTTGATACATAATAGTCATAGTAGAACCCTTGAATCCAATTTTGATCACATCTCACTAGTTTAAAAATCCAGGATTTGTCTTTTCAGTCTTTTTATTTGTCTTCCAGCCGACAGTTTCATACAGGTTTTTATTAATTACAACAAACTAGTTTCCATGATACACTCCCCAGCTAAGTCTAACTCAAGTTCCCTTTTAATGAATATTCTAAGTATTCTAAACATACATACTTCACTGTCACACACTGTGCAATACACACAAACACTTGCCTTTAACTGTACAATATCTAGAGCAAAGTGGGACAAAACTGTATTCAGTGACATGCAATGAAAGGATTTACTTTACCTTTAATCTTTAGCTCATACCAATATATTTGCAGAGTAAACATTTATATCCTACCAAAGTGAGTATTTCCTAAGTTTTTTAAGCCACTCATTCAAAATCTGCTTGGTAATTATTCTTTCCATTTTGTAAACATCATGTCATTTTGTTGAACATCATGTCCAATAGAAAAACTATTTTACGCTTAAAATATTTTCCTTTCAAATCTCCACTGCATGTACAAGATCAGACTTATCAGTGAGATACAGTATATAATTAGCAAAGTTTATTATATTTTTATAGCATACATTAAAAAATTTCTTTGGAGATGTCATTAAAAGTGAGAGCAACCACCAGTTCTCATATACTCTAAATGTCTCTGTCTTAGCAAAAAGTAGTCTGTACATCGGTGCCTCTTTGGGGCTGCCAGCATTTTCTGTTTGTCAACAGTGTCTGAAAGCCAAAATGTCTGAGAACCACTGTGTCAAAGACTTTACTGTATATGTTGTCACTTGCTGCTGCTCTGATTGTATTTAATGAGGTGTACAATCATTAATACGAGGTAAGGATGAATATGCGTTATGACATGCAGATATTAGTAGCATTCATGTTGTGTTACACTTTGGCAATGCTGGAAATTTTACCAGTAACACTGTAGATTTTGATGCCATTCAACTGATATGCACATTTACCAGTCAGACGCAAAACATAATGGGATATATAAACCAGTAAACACTGTAGCAGAATACTGTTGCAGCAATTGTGTACATGTTTGCTGGTACAGTCCAAATGTGTCATGTTGCAGTGCACAGCTCTGACTAGTGTACACGGGGCTCTCGCAGTCATTAGGTTTGGATATAGGGTTGTAGATTCTGTGAACACCCAATCTGTAGGTAAAGCTGTATATATCTTTGCTAATTTAAATGCACACTATCTTCCAAAACCACTACTGAAAATATTCTGTAGTATATGCAGTGCTGTACAGCTTTATGGAGTCAGAACAAATGTACATATGATGTTTGAAAATGTATTAAGACTGTACATATTAAGAAATATTGTGCATCCACCGCTCAGAATGCACAAACTGTCTACATAAGGCCAATGGTTGAAAAAAATTGGTGAAAATGCCAAAGTTTTGCAAATAAATTAAATGAATGGAAATGGATATATGTAAAAAGTGGCATGTGTGAGTCAATTTGATGTTTTTACCGTTACAACCAAACAACAGACAAGATGTCTCACAGGAATTAAACAATCTGAGTAACAATGTCAGGTGAATTAATGGGAAAAATGTCAGCTTCAATTATTGTGCTTTCTTAATGAACTTAGTTAAGTTTCTTATTAAGTTTGTATTTACTGTTCACACCAAGAAGAACATGTGTTTTCTATCAATCTTTCCATCATGAAATATGATAGAGCTTATCAGAATTCAATGTACATATACAAGCATTCATAAACATTTGGCTCTGGTGAAGAAAAAAAAGTTAGATGTCGAGGAAGTGTTATCGATTAATGTGAAAATGAAAGTACTGAACCTTTGTCAAAGCCATGACAGGGTGGCAACAAAATCTGAGCCACTAGATGGCACCCAGTGATAGGCAATGTTCAGACTCTGTCGCTCTCTATCTACTGATGTGTAGAAGTTATCTCTTCAGAGCTGCAATCCCCCTCGAAAAGAAGGAGAAAGTCTTTCTTTTATATCAACCACCAGGCTCACACTCCATAAAAGCTTTTAGCAGGCGCTGAGCTGATGTGTCAAGTGGGTGTGGCGGGCTCATCAGCTCTGACATTTAAGTGCAGTAGTACTCAGCGCAGACGGGATTGTAGCATGAGTAGATACAGATGACAAGCCCCCCTGCAAGGATGATTGCAGTGGAGTGACAAGAGAAGACCAAACAACAGAAAGAGGAAGGAGAAGGTGTCAGGAGGGAAGAGATGAAAGGCAAAAAAAGAGAAAAAGGAGCTCTTAGTAACAATGACTTAACCCGACAATTACAGTTTTGTCTGAATTTTTATCATACTTCAAAGAGAGAAAACTATCTAAAACGAAGAGTTCTATGGATCCAATACGGGGTGTTATCTATGTTTTCTTTCAACTTAATCACTCCATGTATTTGTCATTTGCAACTACAATGAACATAGTGATAGCAGAAAGTTCTGAAATTATTGGTAGAAAACCTCAATTTGCTTTATCAGACAGCCAAAGGATGAAGTCCTTGTAACATGTTAATAAAAAAGTTGTAGAACAAGTCAAATAAATATCTGTTGCAGGACTCAATCCAATATGTTCTTGCAAAGCCTAGCATGGAAATACAGTAACACTAAGCAGAAACAACATGGCTCACTTTCTTCGAGGGGTATTACAAAAATTCAAATAGTGCATGCTACTGCTATTGGACACAATGATGAACGGAATCACTACAGTGCATATTCAAATCTATTCATTTCTTTTCCTTTAAAATAATTCCTATCAGAGAAATAGAATAGTGCTTATTCCAAGGATTACAACTGGGGGCTGGGGCCTATCCCAGCTGTCACTGGGAAAGAGGCAGTGTACACCCTGGACAGGTCACCAGTCCATCACAGGGACACAGAGAGGATTGAGACAGACAGCCATGTACTCCACCACTCACTTTTAAGGTCAGGTTGAAGTCATCAATTAACACAGATGTTTTTGGACGGTGAGAGAAAGCCAGAGTACCTGGAGTGAACCCATGTCTACATGGGAAGAACATGCAGACTCCACACAGAAAGGGCCCCAGATGGATTAGATCAGGGAACCCTCTTGCTCTGGGTAGACAGAGCAAACCACCACATCGCCATGCAGGATCTGAATCAGAGCTCGCTTTGCAAAAGGTCCAGCCACCTCTGCTCCACAGTATTTAACACTCATACTATGATATGAATTGTAAAAAGTATCCTGGTTAAAATTCAGAAGGGATACCCCGTGAGCGCTGACATATATCTGAATAAGCTGTCATGAAGATGAGGAACGATAATGATGGAAGCAGGAAAACAGATAAAGTATTAGCATACATGCTATTAAATTCAAATTGCAACATTGTCTTGTACAAATATATCTGTTCTTCCCCCTATTCAACGAGTCTCCTTTACAATACACCGCAGCACCGAAGACAAGCAACACTGACACGCTCTGACATGGACTGAGATCCCACCACCCATGTAACTGGATGCACACACACACATACTCACACAAAACCTTGGACACCCTGTGGCATTACAGCTCGACCTGCCACTCGGACATTCACAAATCAGACGGACAAATCTCTAACAGACGGCCCCTGACAAAGAGATTATCACCGTGACAGGAGAAGTGTGTGCAGCTGTGGGTGGTGGAGTTAGCAGCGGGCAGATGGGGGTGGTGGTGGTGGTGGGGGGGCTCTTTGTATATTCACACATTTGGCCCTTTCTCATCACACCAGCGTGCACAGACAAAGTCAAAAATGCTTAAACTGTTCGGGCTTCACCTGCATGTTCAGTGCACACCCTTCACTCTGCATCCATCAATCTGTGTATGATCAAATATGCACAGTAAAAACAAAAATCCTGGTGTGTATGTGTGTGTGTGCATTAAAAACTTAAAAGTGTATCATAAATGTTTTTACTCAAACATGTTAAACTTCTTCATTTTGAGCCTGTTGCTGGTCATGTATGTTAACAGGGCTGACAGGTTGACGATTTACAGCTGACAAGCCAAAAAAAAAATAATAACCGCAAGGTTTCTTCACAAAATTCAACCTCACTATATACTGAGGAAATGTAGAGCACAAGTAACTGAATAAGAAACAGAAAATGCAAGATACAGTGGAAAAAATTATGCAGTTCAACAGCAAGAAGTCCCCAGTAGATGTCCCCAGTAGATGTAAATGGCAAATGTTACTGAAAACTATTTTCTATTAAATGTATAGAAAGAATAGAGAGAGAGATATTTCAACTCAAAACAGCTAAATATCAATGTCGCATCACTTTCTTGTCCAAAGAGACCTTACATTAAAGAGAATATTGGGGTGAAATGTGGACTTAATTATTTGTTTCCATTGACACTTGGACATGTAGTTTTGGGAAGTTGAGGATCAAACCAGCGGCCAACTGATTCAAGGATGAACATACCACCTGCACAACCAACTTATATTGGGTTCATATTACGTACAGGATGTTTAAGATGAAGTTGTCTCCTTTAGTGATGGTAAGAGGTTGAAGCTTTAACTTCTTCATTTATTTGTTGTTGTTTTTTGTTGTTCATTTTTTAGTTTTGGGGTTAAAGTGCATATGATTGTTCATTTAATGAATTTACTCAGAAATCTGATGAAAAATGGCACAAAAAACAGAACTGAAAATGATGTCATTACTGTGAAAATTTTTGGACTTGATAAACAGGATAATGTGACACCAATGACTTTCCATATTGTATTTCAGTTTGAGTAAAAGTGCAGATGTTTGAGAAATCTAACTCATAAATTGTTTTATAATATTGTTAACTTGAATTCACACAACGTTTGGACCAAGACTTCATCTAAGTGCATAAAAGTATGAGGCTGCCCCTGTGGCTGAACTGGCACATAGGACACAGTTTGATATTTCCACAATCTTGAGCCAGCCACAAATTGCCATAATAATTATAATATAATCATGTAACCCAAACACAAATACACTTACAAGTCAAAGGTGCCAGTGAAGGATAAGTGAAGCTCTGCAGAAAGTCAATTAATCTTTTCAGCGGTCCCCCTTCCCTCCGCCCTGCTTAAAAGCTTCATTTACCTCCTATGGAGAGGAGATAGAAACACCATTAGTGTGATGATGGCAGGACTGGAAAGGGGAAAGGAGTATCTCACAGTTGGATGAGCTGAAACAGTATAGGACGCCATCTCCACAAAAAAGTGTGCGCTTACAAAAAGGCGAGAGCATCTTCTGCATGGGTGGGCTCAATTAGGTCCTATCTTGATTATCAAATGGTGTACAACTTTTAAGGCGGAAGTGTGCCTCAGATCCCAGAGATGGCAAAGGGTGGGCTGACCTGCAGAGCTGGACTGGTAACAGTAGACATAGGGGATCTTCGCTGTTTGGAGGTGCTTCGCAAGGCGTGCATTAGTGGATCAGACCTCAACCATTATTTTCATTTCTCAGCCGATGTGTGTGTGTGTGTGTGTATGTGTGTGTGTCTGTGTCTGTGTTATATTGGACCCCAGCTGGATAAATGCTGTTCATGTGTGTTTACATGCCCACATTGGAGTGTGTGAAATGCCAGTGAGCATATCGGCTCTGCTTCACTGAGCTCGGCTGGCTACTGGAGCACAATTGGGGGCTTCGCTGTGTGACAGAGGTCAAAATACACACACAAAAGCACAAATACAAATAAGGAAGTGTGGCTCAAGACTGCAATAATCAAACAGTATGCAAATAAAACATTTTTTTTTACTACTAAGATATGCTTGCTCCACCTGTCCTTACACATAATTAATATAGACCGGCTTCAGGGCAGTAAAAAACATCAAGTTTCTGCTAGAAATAAGGTCAAGTTGAAACAATATTCACAGACAGACATTCTCAGGCCTGACATGGTGAAGGGCTAATTCCTCCTTCCTCTGAATTACACAGAGAAGCTCATATTTACCCTGTGGATCTTTACGAAATGGTGAAAATAGATTTTATTTCAGGCTTATCACTATTCATAGTCCTGAATTTGAATTAAGGATTCTCTTATGACAAGCCGGTGACTAATTAAGATTCTATCTATGTAAGCAAATCACAATCCCTACTTCTTCTCCCATGTGTTTTTTGTTTGTGTGGCTCAATGTGTATGTGCGCTTGTTTGAACTAGTCTAGTGTGTAAACAAATGTTTTGTCCCAGTTAACTAGGTCCCAGTCGGACCAAACCTATTTGGCATTGGTCCGTTGATGCTGGTGTGCTGCTCTTGGGCCGCAGAGGCATGTATGTGGACATATGTGCGCGTTGTGTACGTAGCAGCCAGGGGGATGGCATGCTGCTACCGCTGACACTGGGCTTGTCTGCCTGGTGTGCCCCTTTCTGCACCAGTAGAGCTGGCACTGCCTGCCGCCTCTGCCCAGCCGACTCGCAGCATGCCAGCTGGGCGCTACCAGGAGAGGCCCCACAGAGAGAGGACACAGGTCAGCTGTGACAGAGGGACACTTGGAGGGGAGGTGTGGCGTTTGGTGGAAAGGTTTATATCCAGAATGGACAAACTAACATATATAGAGCGGAGAG